TTTCCGGTCACAGCACACCAGGGGTCTCTGTTGCCAGGTCACTGCACACAGTGAGACAGAGACCTGGAAAGGAGATAAGATGCCAACAGCATCTTCAGTTTATTCAGCATCTGTTATTCACCAGACACTCTTGGAGATGTTTCCTGTTACTACAAAACAAAGCAGAAAAAAATCTTAATATTTGGCTTTAGAATTCCACCCAGGGAGGAAAGTGCCTTTCCTTGAGACTCCATAGGAGAGGATGTTGCCATGTACCAAGATGTCAAAGGACGATGCAGCTCCTTAAGTATATGTGGGTTCTGCTTCTGGAAAGGATGGCAAAGCAGATGAGGAGAGAGAAAGCAGGAGGGAGAGAAGGAAGGGAAGGAGGAACATGGAGAGGGGCTGGGCTTAGGCAAGAAGAAGGGGCTTTGCTCTGATGTAGACCCTCCTCCAACTCTGACATCTTCCGTATAATCTAATGCCCTGGGTGAATGGGCTTTCATGAAAATAAATGAGGGGCTAGTTTTGCATCCCATCCATATGATCCAGAAGAGACCAGAAGACATCAGCCAATGATGACAGCTGACTTACGCATACCTTGTGTTCAAAACCCAGAGTGTCCCTCTGAAGTAGTTAATATCTCAGGGTGTTTCTTGTGCAGAAAGGGGAAGTCCCCCACTAAGCAAATGGCAGAGTTAGGATTCCAACCCAGCTGGGTCTGAGCACGTTCTCCTAAGATGGGTCCTCCCAGGAGACAGGAAACCAGGATCTCAGCCAGGTGGGCTAACGAGGAAGAAGGAGAAGCCAAACAGGTCAGAACAAATACCCCGACCCAGCCCTGGGAAGGAACCAGCAAGGGAATTCCAAAGTCTAAAGGGATTGGGTCCAGGTGATCATTGTGGCCAGTGCCTAAATCAAAAGGCCAAGTGACTGACACAACAAAAGAGTCAGATGGGTACCAGCTAAGCTCAGTGGGCATATCTCCCTGTCTCCCTCCTCCTGTCTCTCTCCTCTGGTCTTTCCTACCCTTTCCAGTAGCAGGAGGAACATATTAATATACAGCCTCATCATTTTCCCAGCATCCTCCCTAAAAGAGCATCCTAGCCAAGGCCTTAGAGTGTGGGCTGCAGACGCAAGGAAAAGGCCAAGGGAGCTTAGCAACTGGTGGCTCAGAAAACAATAAAGAATCTGCCTACAATGCAGGAGACCCAGGTTCAATCCCTGGGGTGGGAAGATCCCCTGGAGAAGGAAATGGCAATCCACTCCAGTATTCTCGCCTGGAGAATCCCTTGGACAGAGGAGCCTCGGGGCTGCAGTCCATGCGTGTGCAAATAGTCGGACGCGACTGAGCGACTGCCTGACTCCCTGCAGGCATCTCCGACTACGGGCAGCTAGGCTGACTGCAGCGCCACCTGCTGGCACACCTCGGAATCTGCGGGCAGGGAGAGGCTGGGGAAGCCTGCCGCTGAGGAATGGCATTGGGTTTTCCCGGCACAGGGAGGGTGCAAACACCAGTTTCTCTCTATAAAATGAAAACGTCTGCGGAGAGAAGCCTCAAGACAGTGGAGCAATGAGAGGCAAGCCCCAGGGTATTCTATCGTAAAAGTTCTGAGATCTTGGCTTAGCTCATAAATATAAGCAATTGTGTAAAGCCACTGGTTGGTTCCATGGCACGGGGCGGGGAGGGGGAGGGATGGGAAAGCCAAGAATGGATGAGTTGTCAAGTAAAGGCAGAAACACTTTAAGACTCAATCCTGAGCATCTCTCCTCTATCCCTGAGCTGGCTCATCCACCCAACAGCTTAAAGATCCACCAGAGCCCTCCCCTCATTCACATCTCTCCCCCAGATCTCCGTCCCCAGCTTCAGACCCCTAGATCAGCTGTCTGAGTACCATCTTGACTTGGATGTCTGCATTGACAGGAGCCCATATCATAATAAACCCAACGAAAGATAACTTGAGCCAAAAAAGGATGGAGATTTGCTGGTCTGTAAAACCAGACTGTAAGGACAGCAGAGATGGAGCTGGTCTATTTGTTGAAGGAACGAAAGGGCAGAAAAACATGAAGGCATTTGTTAGGGGGAAGAAGATAGGAACTAAGTCTCGGTGAGTACCGATGAGCTGCTGGGCATTTATCTCATTTAGACCGATGAGGAGGCTAAAAGCTGAGGCTGGAGAATGGGGGTTTCATCACTTATTCACAGTCACAGAGCTAGCCCGTGAAACAGTGGGATTCAAGGTTCTGTCTGACTTGTTCCACTGTCTCTAATTTTCAAATTAAAATTAACAGATGTAGAAACAGACTCACAGACTTAAGAGAACGATCTTATGGTTACCAGAGGGGAAGGGATAGTTAGGGAGTTTGGGATGGACATGTACACACTGCTATGTTTAAAATGATTAACCAACAGGTCTTAGGGTATAGCACAGGGAAATCTGTTCAATATTATGTGGCAACCAGCATGGGAGAGGAGTTTGAGGGAGAATATATATGTACGGCTGAGTCCTTTTGCTGTGTACCTGAAATTTTCACAATGCTGTTGATCTGTTATATGCCAATACAAAATAAAAAGTTTAAAAATAAATAAAATTAAATTAAAATAAAATTTATAAATTTTAGATGCACGGTCTGTGGCTAGGCATAAGGGCTTAAGAGATTTTTGAATCCCCAGCTGTACCTGCAATGCCTGAATCACTCTCTTCCCATCCCAGCCAGGTAGCTGTATGGTTTTTGCTTGCACACCCTTCATGATGGGGAACTCACCCTCACGAGAGTGATTTTATTATTGAATCATAAGAGTAGTTTAGAAAGTTGAGACAGAGTGTATCCTTCTTCAGCATTAAAGAAGGGAATGCATGGGCTGTGCCCACCACAGTGTCTGCAACATCAATCAATGTGGTCGCCCTCCCCACTTCCCTTAGTACAACTGTTCTTGTGTCTGTCTTTCCCTGGGGATTCCAGGAAACAAATCTAATTCTTCTTCCCTGAGACAGCCCTTCAGATATTTGAAGACAGTGCTTCAGGGTCCCCCTGAGGCTTTGCTTACCCAGGATAAACAGTCCAACCCACTTTCAGACACCCGATGGTAAGCAAGAGTTGATGCTATACACACTGCAATTTTCCAGCTTCTGTGCCGTGCGAGGCTTCAGAAAACGTGATGGGACGAATGATAAACCAGCCCCCACAGGGAAGCCATGCTATCTGGATCATGCGTGCATGCGTGCTCAGTCGTATCCGACTCTCTGCAATCTCATGGACTGTAGCCCGCCAGGCTCCTCTGTCCATGGAATTCTCCAGGAAAGACTACTGGAGTGGGTTGCCATTTCCTACTCCAGGGGATCTTCCCGACCCAAGGATCGAACCCGAGTCTCTTGCTTCTTCTAGATTGGCAGGAAGATTCTTGACTACTAGTGCCACCTGGAAGGCCCCAGGTCTGGATCATGACCTCAGAATAAAAAAAAAGGGGTGGGGGGGGGATAGTGACTGACCCTGAACAAACCATGGCCCATCCACAGAGCTTCACCCACTACATTCTGGGTTCACCCACTGTGGGAAACCGTTTTAGAGGAAAAATATATGAGTCTCTCCCAAAATGATCTTACATCATTTTAGACCCTCAGCCTTGCCAAAAGTCATTATGAATTCTTCCCAAATCCAGTTTGTGTGCTTATGGATCCAATAGTGAGCAATGTGGGGACCCAGTCCATTCTAATCATACACTATCAAACATACTTGTCAGTCCTCCTCATTTACAGATGGGGAAGCTGAGGTCCAGAGGAGAGCAGTGACTTATCCAAAGTTATACAGGAAATCTGCAAAATCCTGGTCTGCTAATGAACTCCAAAGAAAGATGAGAGAGTAGTGCAAATCTTCAGGGGAAAGGAAGAAGAAATGAGCTGTAGGAAAAAACAAAAAGAGAAAAGCTCTGAAAGGCCCTCTCTGGAGTGTTTTTCTCTCTCGTGTCAATTTCCTAGAGAGACACAAAGACGATGTGATAGTATATATACAAGCAAGGTTGAAGTCAGAAAGTCCTAGGTCCACATGCCGACTCTGCCAGTGACTTTGTGCATGACCTTGGACAGGCTACTTAACCTTTCTTTTTATTTTTTCTTTTATTTATTTATTTGACCATGCCGTGTGTCATGCGGGAGCTTAGTTCCCCGGCCAGGAATCGAACCACACCTGCTGTAGTGGAAGCATGGAATGTTAACTACTGGAGTGCCAGGGAAGTTCCTATTAACCTTTCTTAGACTCAGCTTCCTCCCAAATAAAATTATAACAGGAACATCTCCCTCAAAGGAATCCCGTAAGCCTTAAAATAAAATACATAAAGAGATATTTGGTTCTCAGTTATGGTGGAGCAACTTATACAAGGCTAACTAACCCTCCTGAAACTAACGATTATAAACTCTGGCCAAAAGATTTCAAAAGCACTATTTGATGGGAGGGAGACTAAAAACAGGCCGGAACTGGCATGTTTATACAGACCTTGAAGGAAGGGAACCACCCTAGATGAAATACACATTTATCAATATTTATCGGATCGCTCCTTTGAGGACACATCAACTTCTAAGGGAATATTATAGATACAGCTCAAGCTGAAAGCAGTCATCCTGGAGTTAAAAAGTCTCAAGCCAGAGTTCAGGGCTGCCAGAAAAGCTAAAAATGGGGAGAAAAACCTTAGAAAGGAGGGAGGGGTCCACAGAGCCCTCCAATTTTTATCCCACTTCTCTGCTGCGGAGAAATGCAAGACAACAAGTTGTGGAAGTGGGAAGATGCGGCTGGGGTAAAAGACTTTGAGAAGATCAGCATTTATAGGGAAGGTTATAAAAGGTAAGATAGGAGAACTGATTTTGGAGCCAGATGTTGAAGGCCTGGGAGGTCCCCGGAGTTTAGGCACTCACTCAGTAGCCGATCAGTTAATTGTTTTTTAATTGCATAAGTGAACGAAGGAGCCACGGGGTGTGTTCCTGCTGAAGCTCCAGGGCTGACTGCTGGCCCTCCTTCCTGCCTTGCAGCTCACATACCTGCCCCCGCCGTGGGGCGAGTGCCGGTCCTCCGAGATGGGGCTCGACTTCTTTCCCGTTTACAGCATCACCGCCTGTAGGATCGACTGTGAGACCCGCTACATCGTGGAGAACTGTAACTGCCGCATGGTTCACATGCCAGGTCAGTGCTGGGGAGGGAGGCCACAGGGCGCCGGGGACTGCCCGCGGCCTTCTTTGCATTTCTTACCCGACAGAACGCTCTTCAACCACTCCACGCTCTTCACCCACTCCACGAGGATGTCCAGGGACACTGTTCTGGGAAGACAGTTATTTGATGTGCAGACATTTCGGGGGCAGATGGGAACACCCAGTCTGGCAACCACAGCAACGTCGTGGTCTGCAGAGTGGACAGAAGTTTGGAGAGCATTCCTCCCAGTGTCCAATATGTTTGCTAGTTGTCTGCTGTTCTTCCCTCCTAGAGCTAAGTGACCACATATCTGGATGCTTACAATTCTCCCATCCTGGTGTGGTACACATTCAGACATCCAGATGTTTACTGCTTTCCTCCAGATATTTTCCCTTCTTGCATCCAAATGTCTAGCACTCTTTCAAGTCAGGCAAGAGTCCATCAGCCAGCGAATGGATGCGTGTGTCCTGACATTCCTGTTGTCAGACTAACAATGCGCGTAGCCATCACTAGGGGCAGTCGGCTTGTCACAGGCAGAAGGGGCTGGTGCTGACTGGGGCAGGAAGAGCCTGGTACTGCAGCGGAAGGAAGGACGACTGAGGCTACAATCAGTGGCCTTGGCTTCTAACTCAGCTCCCACCACGTGACGGCTGTGTGACCTGGCACAAGTTACTAAACGTCTCTGTTCTTACCTCCATCATCTTTAAAACACAAACGTTTGCTGTTAGGATAAAATTTAGCTAAATATAAAAATGCTTTGTTGGGAATTCCCTGGCAGCCCAGTGCTTAGGATTCTGAGCTTCCACTGCAAGGGGGCCAGGCTTTGATCCTTGGTCAGGGAACCAAGATCCCACAGTTCAGCCAAAAAAAACAAAAATGCTTTGTCAATTGCAAACGTCAGTGGTGATTGGGGAGAAGGAATTGAGAGTACTGGTGACTGAAGACCTACTATGTGCAGGGAACTTTACTACTATATTTCATGGCTATTGTTTCATGATTATATCATAATCATAGTTAGTTTATCTAACTAAATCCTGACCTTGGACATTTAGCTCATTACCAATTGTTTTCTGTCATAACCAATGCTGAAATGAACATCCTTGGAGCTAAATTCTGAACAATTGCATTAGTAACCAGTAATTTCTCTTGTAATCTAAATTTAGGATTATCAATCTTTAAAATAGCCTCTGAGAAGCAGGCAAAAATAGAATGGAATAGAAGACAAAACAAAAAGAGAAACATATCAGTTAAATTCTTATTATTAGAAAAGAGGAACCATTTCAGTTCTTCAGCTCTTGGGGGAAAAATAAGAGGGTATTGTGGTGGACTTTGACATCTGTTGTTGTTCAGTCACTAAGCTGTGTCTGACTTTTGGCGGCCCCGTGGGCTGCAGCACATCAGGCCTCCCTTGTCCCTCCCCATCTCCCAGAGTTCACCCAAGTTCATGCCCATTGAATCAGTGATGCCATCCGACCATCTCATCCTCTGCCGTCCTCTTCTCCTCTTGCCTTCAACCTTTCCCAGCATCAGGGTCTTTTCCAATGAGTTGGCTTTGACTTTAGCATGTGGGAAAAGAAAAAAAAAAAAAAACAGTTGCTGGATTTCTACAGAGACCAGAGAGAATCAAGCACTGGTAAATGCTACCTGGGCATCCCTGTGGCTCACTGGTAAAGACTCTGCTGCCAATGCCGGAGATGCGGGCTCACTCCCTGGATCGGGAAGGTCACCTGGAGAGGCATTGGCAACCCACTCCAGTAGTCTTGCCTGGAGAATTCCATGGACAGAGGAGCCTGGCAGGCTACAGTCCATAGGGTCACAAGGAGTCAGACACGACTGAGAGACTAAACAACAGAAATGCTACCTGCCTGATGCTGAGACTGGGTCACCAGCCAGTGAGGTTTTCCCATGGAACCTGAGCCCAAGCCAGCGGAGAGATTTTAATCAGTCCCCACATGACACTGTTACTGGCATCTCCATTATAACATGGAATGAAGGGCACACAAAGGGGAGACTGACCAAGCAGCCTTCACTCACGGCAGCCTGCTGTGACAGAAAGAGCCCTAGGCTCGTGAGCACACGGACCTGGCTTCCAAGCCCACCTCCATCACTGCAGGCCTGGGAAAACAGGGTAGTTAAACCTTAACTCTCTCACCAATCACACAGACACAGTAGTTCCTATTTCCAAAGGTACCTAAGTGGGTTAAAGGGGATGATGCATGCCCAGAGCTTAGTAGGTACTTACCACTGCCTCCCCACTGTCAACACTCTCCTGTCACCTATATGAACCAGGCTGTCCAACCTGGGAGAAATTAGCTAGATGGTTCCCATTATCACAGAGAGGATCACAGCCCAGTCTTCTGGTCCCCCACTACCCCTAGGGAGTCCTGATTGACAGCTGCCTTCTGACTGTCCACTGGTGAACTGCTACCCCTCCCAAGTACCCGGATGCAATCCCTTCCCCCGGCCCAAGGAGGGGAGGGGTTGCTGCCTGAATACCTCTCCCTGTCTTTCTTCTTTGCAGGGGATGCCCCTTTCTGTACCCCTGAGCAGCACAAGGAGTGTGCAGAGCCTGCCCTAGGTCAGTACCAGGGGCCCAATGGAATGATGGGGGTGGGGGCTGCGATTGAGACCTTGGAGACCTTCCAGGTGTGGGAGAGAGATGGGGGGAAAGGGGATGGGGAAGGGTGAGGGGGAAAGAGGCTAGACAGGGTGGCGTCCCTGCAGGGACAGGAGAGGGAGATGGAGAGGAGGAAGGAGAGAAGGATGGGGGAGGGAACTGATGCTAGCGATGAGGGTGGAAACCCACCCAAGGAGCGAAAGGAGGCAGAGAGGTGGGGATAGAGAAGGAGTGAGTTTGCGGGGAGCAGAGAGCAATGAGGAATGCAGAGGAGCGGGCAGAGACGGAGAGAGGATGGACAGTGGGGACCGGTGGGCACGAAAGGAGCTTGGTGATACTTCCCAGCGCAGACCCTGGAGGTTATTCCCAAGCATTGCTCCCTTGAGCCAGGAGAGGTGGGGTCAGGCAGAGGGGTGAGCCCCAGTGTCATTCCTCAGGGACACAGGGGAGGCAGGAGCACCCCCCACCCCTCCTCCTGAGTGTTTGCTGGCCCACCCCACCCCCCACCCCACAACACCCCCCACCCCGGAAAACTTCCGGTGAGGGGGATCACACCAACAAGCTACAACCCCAGAGCGTGACCCACTCCACACGCCCGCCTCTCGGGGATCTGGGAAATGATTTACAGGCAAGACAAGCAGGGAGTATTTAAATCATCCGGACTCAAGTTTGCTCAGCAGTCGTACTTGCTGGCTCTAAGTGGAGCAGTTCTGGACTCACGTGTCCAGATGCCTCCAGGAGGGCTGGCTGGAAAGAGGAGGGACTTCCGGTGGATGCAAAGACTCACTCTGTGTCCTCAACCAGCCGGCAGAGGAAGCGGGCACCAGCTACGAGGGAGCCCCCGAGGGAAGACCAGGGAGCCTAGGGATTCAGACGCAGTGGCCTCCCACTCCTGCCTGCGATGAACAGCCCCCTCTGTAGTTGAGATCTGACGCTGAGAGCAGAGAAGAAGGCCCTGGGATGATCAGAGGCCCAGGACTCCCTTGAAGCCCATGCTTCCAAAGTGGTGGCCATACTTAGAAAAGTTAACCTAACAATAAAGGAAGCAGAAGGAACACAGAACCAAGAGCAACAGATAAAGGACTTCCCTGGGGGTCCAGTGGTGAAGAATCGGCCTGCTAATGTGGAGGACTCGGGTTCCATCCCTGGTCCACATGCCGAGGAGCAACTAAGCCCCCGTGTGCCATAACTAACAAAGCCCACTTGCCCTAGAGCCCGTGTTCCCCAACAAGAGACACCACCCCAGTGAGAACCAGAGAGAAGCCCCTGCTCGCTGCAACCAGAGAAAAGCCCACACGGGGCAACAGAGACCCAGCAGAGCCAAAATTAATAAATAAAATCAAATTTAAAAACTCAACTTAAAGGGATGCAGAAATTATTCAGATAATAAAATTAGCTGACAAGTACATTAAAACAGTTATTTTATTAAAAAAAAAAGAGTAACATAGAAAGAGTAGGTGCTTTCTCAACTGTTCATATGCTCATCAACCTCGAGCAAAAGCCCAGCTCCCCTTCTCTCCACAGCCGCCCACCCCTCATTCACCCAGAGGGTGCCTCCTCCCAGCTCACTTCTCTGCTGCAGGAACCCAGGAGCTGGCTACTCTGGGCCCAGAGGTCCCAGTCCCCTGCACCCAACTCAGCCCTGCCTTCCTCTCCCCTGCAGGTCTGCTGGCAGAAAAGGACAGTAATTACTGTCTCTGCAGGACCCCCTGCAACCTGACCCGCTACAACAAAGAGCTCTCCATGGTGAAGATCCCCAGCAAGACATCAGCCAAGTACCTCGAGAAGAAATTTAACAAATCAGAAAAATATATCTCGTAAGCTAAGTGGACAGGGTGGAGGCTGGTGGGGGGAGGAGGGACCAGGAAAAAAATGGGAAGGTGGGGGGATAGTCAAGGAAGAAGACAAAGGTAAGCAGTTAGTTCCATCTGGCAGATGTTAATTGAGCACCTGCTCTCGGCCAAGTTCTGTCCTCAGACTCAGAGTATGAAGACAAAGTGCATTAAGAAGCAGTGCCATCTTTCAGGAGCTTACAGACCGGTAGAGACAAATACAAGACTAAAAGCTGTCCAGGCTGGTGCAGATAATAAAAGAGGTCATTGGCCGTACCTTGCATAGGGGTGCTGTCAAGGAAAGTTTAAGAGGTGTTTTTACACAATGCAGAGGAGTTTTTCAGGCAGATTTTGCATATTCTGTTCCCTCTGCCTAGAATGCTCTTCCTCTCACTCTTCACCCAACTGGTTCCTCGTTTCGCAGGGCTCCATTTAAATGTCATCTCTTTGGACCAAAAAATTGGGCCCCCTCCTGTCATTCTCTCGAAACACTCAGGTGTATTCCTTTATAATACTCGCCACTGTGTGTAATTCAATATTTGTGTGGCTGTTTCCTTCAGTTACCTGCCTGCCCCTTGAGGGCACAAACCTTTCTTTTTTGTTCTCTGCTGTGGAGTGTCTAGCACGGAGTTGATGCTCAAAAAAAATAATCTTTGAACAAAATAAATGAAAGGAAGACATAGGAGAAGAGGGTGTCACAAGAGTACAGCAAAAGGAAGCCGGCAGAGGTAGATGTGGGTCTTATAGGCTGAGCTGGGCGGGAGTGGGAGTCAGGGAGTAGATTTGATGCTAAGAGGGTAGGGAGCCACAGAAGAGATTCAGGCAGGCATGTGATAGGCTCACATCTGCATTTTAGATGACATGTTCTATGGTAGAACCTTCTAGAAATGTTCTATCTCCATGATGTCCTACGTGGTGGCCACTGGCCACCTGTGACTGTTGAGCATTTTAAAGGCAGCCTGGCTGATGGAGGCACGGGATGCTAATTCTGTGTTATGTGGGTTAGTTGAGAGGTCTTAGGAAGACCCAGTTAAGAGGATGGATGGGCAGACAGGTGGGCGGAAGGGAGCCGGGTCGGAGGCAGTTACAATACACCAGGCGAGAGATGGCGGATGGCTCCTGGGTGAGCCCCGGTGGAGAGGGCTTCTCTCGCTCTTACCCACCCTCGGGTCTGCACACCGGACCGCCACCCCACCCTAGTCCACAGCAGCTCCTCTGGCCCCGAAGGCACATGATGGATGCAGGGTGTTAATTTCAACCTCTTCCAGCCTCTCCCTCCCACACGGTCACCAGCTCTCATCCTGGGACGGTGTGTGCCCCTTGAGGGCAAGCAGCACCAAGGCCATTCATGAGCAGCATCAAAGAATCAGGGTAACGGGATCGATAGGAGGGGCCAGGCCCCACAGCTGCAAACATTCTGCTGATGGTAACGGCTTCTCCCACCAAGATGTGTCTCATGAATACAGCTGCCCCAAAGAGCAGAAGGGAACTGAGGTGCTTCTGCCAGAAAACCCCACAGCCGGATGTAGGTTTGCTCCCTAAAAGCCCTCCCTAGCTCCTGCAGCTAACTTGGTGATGCTGGGGCAGGGCTCCCACCAGGAGAAGCTTGCCGTCAATCCCAGTAGGAACTGGGGGCCTCTCTAGGGTGAGCAGGGGAGGTAAGTTGGGGGCAGGCAAGCAAGCCTTGTTAAGTGAGTTCTGAGCTCACTTGCACGTAAGGACCCAGGCAGACCCCCTGGGGCATAGGGACCTGGAGGCCTGGCAGGACTCCTGGAAAAGGGGGCAGAGAGAGGGTGGGTGAGCGATAAGGGGCCAAGGGGAAAGCTGACATACCCCTCCAGGCCCATGAAGAGCACTGGGCTGGGAGTCACGACTTCCAGGTTCAAGCCCCAGCTCTGTGACTAACCAGCTCTAACATGGAGCCCATTGTCTCACGTACCCGGGCCTCTGTTTCCCTTTCTGTCCATGGGAAAATTGTATGATATGATCCCTGTGGGTCCTGATGATTCTCACCACATGCGACACTGAACCTTTCCCCCACAGAGAAAACATCCTCGTTCTGGATATATTTTTTGAAGCTCTCAATTATGAGACCATCGAACAGAAGAAGGCATATGAAGTCGCTGCCTTACTTGGTAAGTCAGAGTGTCCGTTCCACAAATGTCCACATCTCAGGGGGATGGACAGGGTCTCAAAGAGTTGGACACAACTGAAGCGACTTAGCACGCATGCATGCATGCAGGGTAACATGGGGCTTCCCAGCTGGCTCAGACGGTAAAGAAAAGGGGTTTTGCCCATGATGCAGGAGATGCGAGTTCGATCCCTGGGTAGGGAGGATCCCCTGGAGAAGGAAATAGCAACCCACTCCAGTATGCTGGCCTGGAAGATCCCATGGACAAAGGAGCCTGGTGGGCTACAGTCCACAGGGTCACAGAGTCGGTCACCACTGAGCAACTAAGTACACAAGAGGGTGGGAGGAAGGGGGGGTGGGCAGGTGACGGCCAGATGGTGACTCTAAAAGAGTCCAGCCTTTTCATTCACTAATTGCTCCTTCTTCCCTCGCACTGCTCCTGCCCCAGAGTGGGAAGCACTGCATGCGGCGGTGTTAGGCCCAGTTCATTCCCTGGTCTAATCTCAGTTTCCCCATTGACACAATGAGGCAGGTGAGCCAGCCATTCTCTCCGGACCCTTCCAGCACTGCCCTCTCAGATTCCACAGCCTTCTGCCCCCTGATTGGAGTCAGAGCCCTGGGGCTGTGGCGGATAGGTGCAGCGGGGCTGAGCTATGAATGCTCCCAGGGAGCAGACACCACAAGGGTCCCACCCATGGAGGCCCCACCTGGAAAGCAATGTTGCCATGTTGAGAAGGCCAATTGCCCCTGGACTGAGAGCTCTTTGTCAAACCCTAAAGAAGGGCCACATAGTCCCAGAAATCTACAAACCTGATGGCCACCCTACCTTAGTTCACATCAGCTCCTCTGCCCGCGAAGGCACATGGTGGATGCCAGATGTTCATTTCAACCCCGCCCCAGCCCAGCTTAAATCTAACAAGATCCCTTAGGGGGCACAGTTAAAAGACCTACCCTGAACCCATCCCCCCAGCTCCCACTCACTCTCAAGAAAGGATCCGATGTCTGTGGCTTCAAGGAAAAATAACTCTTGTTGTCTCTGTGAACTGAACCAGGTGAGCGAGGCATCCTGAGTTGGGGGGCACGGGAGACAGACACCTTCTACCTGGAAGTTCAAGGGGAGCACAAGTCAGGGGCTACTGCACACCAGCCCGGAGTATGTGGACAGGTGGCTTCACTTCACTGAACCTCAGGTCCCCCATCTGTAGAATGGATCTAATAAAACCCTCCGTGAGTTTGCCATGATGGTGAAATGTGATCAAGACCCAGCCCACAGAAGGCCCATAAACAGTGGTTTCTGGCATCCAGACAGACACTCTCCTAGGAAGCGGCGGACACCGCAGGGTCCCCACTGGGCTACGGTGGTCATCGCTAAGAGCCCTGGAGACGGTTGTGGCCAGAGAGGGACTGTGCTAAGAGACTCGGGGGCTGGGCTGGGGCTAAAGCCCCGCCCCTGTCACCGAGGACACGCCTCCTTCCCTCTGCTCCCCTCCCCCACACGCAAGTGCACTAGTGCGCACGCACGCTCTCTCACACGCCAGCCGCGGAAAATTGCGCTGCCATATGTACCTCTCGCGAGAAGAGTGAGTGCAGCTTGCAAGCCCTGAGTCAGGAAGTCCACACTGGCCCCTGTCTCCCCGCCCTGTGGCCCGCGTTCCCTTCACTCAGAGAGCACGCCTCACTCCAGCGTACACACAGGTACCAGGGCGATACACCCACACTAGTGCACACCTGCACAGACCCACGTGCAAACCACGCAACTCCAGAGACACGTAGATGCACACGTGCCTACATATCTATACCTGCCATAGACAAGCACGCTCACACCTGCTCCGTGCCCACTCCCACAAAGCCACCCTTAGACACACTCCTGTGCCACCTATATAAAGCCATTGGTGGCCAGATGTAAGGCCTGCTTCTGTCCCGAACATGCACACACAATGCACCCTGGCACGCCCTCCACACTCCGCCACACGGCTCACACATACAGCCACCCCCACAGGCACATGCATGCGTATACACTCCCCAGTGAGCCTCCATCAAGGACATTAGAGGGGGTGGGGGGAGTGGGAAGGAAGGGGGACACCAAGTCCCCCCTGGGAAGAGCCCCCTTCCCACCATCACAGCTTGCTCACCTGGGGATGTGCTTGCTGGGCTTCTCCCAGCCATAATCAGGGAGGAGTGGGCAAGTGTGCTCATCAGAAAGTTCTCGGACCAAGAGGTCAGCCTGGAATCTCCAGGAGATGGTACACCCACCCCCAACAGTGCCCCCCACTCCCAGCGCTCTTCCTAGCCCAGCGGCTCACAGTCCTAGAGGTCATAGCTGAAAAGGGCTTCACTGTTCATCTCCGACCCTCCCCCAAACACCTCCACCACCAAATGTTCCTGGTAGGCGAAGCTGTTGAGAAGGTCAGGGCTTGTCAAAGCCACACAGCCAGCTGGTGGCCACCCTCCGTATTCACAGCCTCAGAGCCCTGTGCTCCGACACACTGCCTCTGGAGCAGAGCGTTTGGGGACTTTCAGGGCATCAGAACCCCCTTAAGAATCTGATAACAGCTTCTGAAATACGGACTCTCCAGCTACAAATGCCCAGATACCCACACGTAACGATTTGCATTCAATTCGAGGAGTCTCCAAGCATTGGAAGGTCCCACAGGAGAGTGGTTCTCAAACTCTGGTGGGCTGGAGAACCACGTGGGAATGTAAAAATCCTGACCTCCAGTCCCCAGTCCCGGAGACTCTGATTGCATAGGTCCCAGGGCTTCCCTGGTGGCTCAGGTGGTAAAGAATCCACCTGCAATGCAGGAGACCTGGGTTCAGTCCCTGGGTTGGGAAGATCCCCTGGAGGAGGGCATGGCAACCCACTCCAATATTTTTGCCTGGAGAATCCCCATGGACAGAGGAGCCTGGCGGGCTCCAGTCCATGAGGTCGCAATGAGTCAGACACGACTGAGCGACTAAGTGCAGCAGGTAGGTGCAGGCATCTATACTGATTACAAGTCTCCCAGGAGTTTGATACAAGGGGACCAGAAGACCCCTGGTCCACGGGGATCATGTACTCAGGACAAGAACCTGTACTCTAGAAGGAGACCAAAGGACTCCCCTTGTGGTCCGGTGGTTAAGCATCTACCTGCCAATGCAAGGGTTCAATCCCTAGTCCTGGAAGATCGCACATGGTGTGGAGCAGCTAAGCCTGTGCGCCGCAACTGCTGAGCCTGTGCTCTGGAGCCTGCGAGCTGCAACTAGTGAAGCTCATGCGCCTAGAGCCTGTGCTCCACAACAAGAGGAGCCACCGCAGTGAGCAGCCCGCACACCGCAGGGAAGAGTAGCCCTGCTCACCGCAACCAGGAAAAGCCTGCGCCTAGCAATGAAGGCCCAGCACAGCCAAAAATGATAAAAGTAAATAGACTGAACATTTACCTTTAGGGAGGGGAGACAGATGCTTCCAAGGACTTCATCCCAAGGGTGAGAGGGGCCTCAAGACAGCCTCAAAGGCCCTGTCATAATTGGGGGGTGTCTCTTATGTGCCTGCTCCTGAGACCCCCACTCAGGACACTGACACAGGTCTCGGGCTAGACTGTGCCCTCGCCCGGGGCAGGGACCACACACGTCTCATCTGTTCCCAGCCCGGGAGCCAAGCCTGGCCCCAACAGTGTGGTTCCGAATGGAAATGAAGCGGGCCAGCAGCCCGGGAGGTTCATTCCAGGCCCCTCCAGTAAGCATCCAGGCTAGTTCCCACCCCCGTGGGTGCTGAAACCCAGCAGCTCTCAGAGCAGCGCAGTGAGGGAGCGGCTTGTCCAGGGCCTGCCCTCCTGGCCCGGGGCCCTCTCAGAAAGCCTGCTTTCCGAGTTCTCCGTCCATTTGACCTTCCAGAAGCACTGTCAGGAAAGCCAAGTCTTGTCTTCTCTCTCTCTCTCTCCAGGTGATATTGGTGGTCAGATGGGATTGTTCATTGGTGCTAGTATCCTTACAATACTAGAGCTCTTTGATTATATTTATGAGGTAAGATGTGGGATTGCTTATGGGGGACTACCAGGTGCCCTCATCCTGCCCCGACACCCAGAAACAGAACACGGAGCGGGGAGAGCTCGGCCTCCCTCCACCCAGGGCCGCCTTCCCCTCCCTGTGTGTGAACACTGTCTGTCCCCGCGCCCCAGGCACCGGGGAGGGGTGGGTGTGCGAGACGGAAGCCACAGGCCTACCCCCAGGGCCGTCTACACCCGCACGCAGGGAGCCGGAGGGATGAGCAGGAGGGCATGAGCCAGTGCAGGGGCTGGCGCGGAGCCCCTGGGCCTCATGTGGGGCTTATGCATGGGTGTGTCTGCACCCACACACTCACACCACACACACGTATACCATACTCATACACAACATACACACACACACACACACACACCCTCCACACACACGCCACACACACTCCACACACACACACACACACACACACACACACACATCACTCCACATCCAGTCCACACCCACCACTCACATACACATGTTATACACACACACATCGCACACACTAATACCACACTCACATATAACATACACACACATATACCCCACACACTCCACACACACATGTTCCACACACACGTATACCACACACTCCACATACATATATTCCACACACTTGCACCACACACACACACACACCACATGCTTATACCATACCTGTACACTACATATACACACACACATACCCCACACACTCCACACACACACCACTTGCATACACATGCTATACACACACACATCACACACTAATACCACACTCACATATAACATAGACACACACATGTACCCACACACTCCACACATACATGTGCCACACACACATATACCACACACTCCACATACACATATTTCACACACACTCATACAACACTCAGAAATACATATGCCACAGGCACACAACATATACTATACACACACACCATTTGCACACACATGACATGCACATACATCATATACACTAATACCACACTCACATATAACAATACACATACATATACCCCACACACACACCACACACTCTACACACACATATTGCACACACACTTATACCACACTCACACACTGCTCACAAATTCACACATACATCACAGTTAAACCACATACACTGTACACACACACCATTTGCACACACATACATCACACACTTATACCACACTCACACACAACATATACACACACATATACCACATACACACACATATACTACACACATACCATACTCACACCACATATGCACACACACTCCACACATGCACACACACACATATTACACTTATACCACACTCACTCACTGCTCACAAATACACATACACCACACACACACACGCACACCACATGCACACACCTGCCCTCCAGGTGACCCACCACCGGATCAGCACCTTCTGGGCTCCAGGCAGGTTTAGGGGAGGAGCACTCCTGAGACGTCATCAATCCTGAGCAGGAAGAGTAGGGGCACTCCCCCGCTCTGGTTCAGGGAGCTGTCGCCCTCAGGAGGCAGCTGGGACAGAGCCTCTGAAAGCTTCTCACATGGCAAACAGCAGCTTCATGCACTGCGTGCTCCAGGGGCTCATCAGTCTTCCCACTGCATTCCTCCCAGCCATGGGCTAACTCCAGGGACTCCAGAATCCCCCAGGGAAGCCCGGAACCACCTGGGTCTCAGCCCAGCAGACGGGGCCTGCACAGCAGTGGCCTGCCTCCCGGAGGGGACCGGCAATGGCCAAAGGCCACCGGGGGTCACTGTGGGGAGCGGAGAGCTTGGGTGACCAGGGGCCTGTGGAGTGCCACACCCCACCTCTCAGCGTGGTGACTGTGTTCCCATGCTGGGTCCCACAGCCAGATTTTGTTCTGCCCTGTTTAATCATTTCTGTGCAAAGATGTACAAAGTTATAGAAATTGAATCACATCAGAAAACATATTTAATAACTCCTCTCTTATTGAGGATGAAATGTTAGCACAGTTGTGTCCCAACCTTGTGAACTGTGGAGTTTTCAGGCCTCAAAAGTGACGAGTAACTGTCCCCCCAGGACAGATGAGGAACCAGCCACGCTGAGAGACCAGACTGAGCAAGGGACCACACTGAGGCCCTCCTGTGTTCCCACGCCGCCCCCCTCCCCCGCCCCAGTCTCTAGCTCCTGCACCAAAAGCTTGGCTAGGGACCCTAGTTTGGGCTGCCTAGCGCCTGCACCAAAAGCTTGGCTAGGGACCCTAGTTTGGGCTGCCAGGCTGGGCTCCTATAAACGTCTGTCCAGCTGCAGCCCAGGTGGCCGCTGCCCCTGCCTCCCCAGCCCAACCACGTGGAAGGAGGTCTCTCTCGCTACCTTGATGCCTTTCTCCCGGCCTGACCTTCCTTCCTGCCTTTCTTGCAGCTGATCAAAGAGAAGCTATTAGACCTGCTTGGCAAAGAAGAGGAGGAAGGGAGCCACGATGAGAACGTGGTAAGGGTGGCCGGCAGGGGGCTGCAGGTTGGTTAGTTCCTTGGTGTGTACAAGCCGCGTGAATCCAGATGCCGGTGCCAGGCAGGACGGGAGTGCTCCGTCACACACCTTTCCATGGCTCGAGACCCTCTGCAGCTCCCAAGTTCAAGGACACTCCAGCTGAACCTTGAGCCTCTCTCTGAGACCCATCCTGGAACCCAGTTGTAGATTGGATCTGCTCCATGGATGCAGCGGAGACCAGGAGATGCTTCTGCCTGGACCAGCTCAGCTCCTCCCCGGCCAGAAGCCACGGCCCTCTTCTCGTGCCTTGGGAGACCAAGGAGAGCTCCATGTAGGCCCACTCCTGTATTCTCTAGGTGGCAGAATGTGAGCAGGAAAGCCCCTGTTACTCTACCCCATTTGAACAGGACATAGGGTGTGGGGCCCTCTGAAGTAGTGGTTTTTCAGTAGCTAAGTCGTGTCCCACTCTTTGCAACCCCATGGACTGTAGTCCACCAGGCTCCTCTGTCCATGAACTTCTCCAGGCAAGAATACTGAAGTGAGTTGCCATTTCCTTCTCCAAGGGATCGTCCCAACCCAGGGATCGAACCCACATATCCTGCTTAGCAGGCAGATTCTTTGAAATAGAATAGAAGGTAGAAATAGGTAGAAGCAACAACACCCATAACTGCTGACCTTTGTAAGCCTGGTATGTATCAGGCACTGTGTTGTGTGCCTTAAGAGTGACACGTCGTTTCAACCCTAGAGGAAGGGCTGTTCTTATCTCCTTTTTGCATATGAGGCAGTTGTGGCCCAGAGGCCCAGGCTACAGAGCTGGGGGACACCCTAGCCTCCTTCCTACTCTGCCTCTCTTTCCTCAATTCTAAGAGGCAGCCCCTCTTATACTGTCCACACTCTCCTTCCCAGATTCAACCTGTTCCTGGACCGTGGTCTCCACTGAAGGTTGTGGGTATCACCGACTTCCCCCAAGTCAACACCCCAGCCCCAAGAGAACACCGCATTCCATGACCATTGCCGCCTTAAAATCATAACATCCCAAGTGGATCCCAGCCTCCTCCTCCTCCTATCTGGGCTCCCGTTTCTGCTCCAGACACTGTTTCTCCACTCATCTCCCAGGCTAAACATCCCACTTTGATTCTCTCGGGTCCCTGCAGCTTCTTTTTGAACAGAAGACAGCTTCTGTGGAGGGGAGGGCAGTGTGGGTGGAAGGAGCCCCGGGCTCTGGACTCAGCTGACCCGCCTGGATCCCAGGGCCCTTCTTCCCAGCTGCGCACCTGAGGGCACATTACCTCCTTCTCTGAGCAGCTGCCGGATCACTGGGACCTCAGGGGGTGCCATCAGATTAAATGAGACCAGGCCCTGGGAAGCAATGAGCTGTGACTAGTTTGTAGTAAGTGCTCAGCGAATTACTCAGAGAGTAATTACTCAAGGATGGAGCTCAGGCTCCATCCCCTTGCCCCACCCTCCCTTCTGCCTTCAGAATGTCTCAGAGACATAGCCTCCTCCTTTGCACCACTCCCAGCCTCATCCTCATCTAATGTGCCCCAAATTCTTGGCACAGAATTCTGCTCACATCCCTCCCAGCCTCCAGCCCTCTGCAGGGCCAGGAATCACCCAGAAGATTCAAAAGCACCTCAGCCCAACCCTGCTCAGGGACCCGAGATAAGCCCTCCCTGAGGCCTAGTTCCCTTCCCAAGGTCCTTTGGGGGCACCTGGGATCAGGAGTCAGACTCCCAGCTGAGACCTCCACTGTTTTGCCTCAGCAATCAAGCAGCCCCTTCTGCCCAGACCAGGCCACAGGTGGCCCCTCCTCCACCCCAGGTGGACCCAACAGAGGTCCAAGGATGAGGGCGGGATGGGTCATCCACACCCCAAGGCTACTCACCACTCAGATATAGCTTCCAGTGACACAGCAGGGGGCCTCTGGAGAAGTCCACAGGATATAAATATGGGATATATTGTACAACGCAGGGAATACAGCTACCACCGTTGGGCTGCTCTGTTCCTTATAGATGTGCTAAGTCACTTCAGTCGTTTCGGACTCTTTGAGACCACACGTGTAGCCCGCCAGGTTCCTCTGTCCATGGGATTCTCCAAGCAAGAATACTGGGGTGGGTTGCCATTTCCTCCTCCAAGGGGATCTTCCCAAGCCAGGGATCAAACCTGTGTCTCTTAAGTCTCCTGCATTGGCAGGCAGATTCTTTATCATTGAGCCACCTGGGAAACCCTTAGAGAGAAGGTCAAACTAGCTGTTAGATCCCATCACCAGGAGGCTCCCTCCGCACTCTGGGGGAGCGCCTAGGTGGACAGTGGAGAGGATTCTGAAGGCAGTGAGCCCCCCCNAGGTGGACAGTGGAGAGGATTCTGAAGGCAGTGAGGCCCCCCAGCTTCATGCCCGAAGATGGCAACCCAGCACCAGAGGGGTTTGGGGCAGAGCGGCAGTGCAGGGGAGAGCCCACCGTGGGCGGCACGGTTCCCAGGGCCTGGGCTGGGCTGCAGGGACCTTGGGACGTATTTTTGCTGAATGAACATCAACTTTCCTCTCCCCGCCAGAGCACTTGTGACACGATGCCAAACCACTCCGAAACCATCAGCCACACTGTGAACGTGCCCCTGCAGACGGCCCTGGGGACCCTGGAGGAGATTGCCTGCTGACGGCCCTCGGGTCCCCCGGCACCACCACCCCCCACCCCCAAACAGACCTGGCCCGGGACCAGGACAGGGGACCGCAGGCTCAGGTGGGATGGCCCCTGCCCACCGACGGAGAGAAGCAAGAGCCCCTATGCACACATAGCAAACTCTGCTGAAACCTCGCTCCGGCCACGTCTGGCACGACGCGTCCTCGGGCCCCGCCGCCGCGCGTCCGACCCTCTTAGGAGACGTGAGTCCCGCCCTGAAACTGTCTGAGAACCGACCCGCCATCACATCTCACTGCCAGATGTACAAAGCACTGCATGCTCCGACCCCTCACGGCGCCGCGTCCGCGTCTTTCTCCGTCCGCGACCCTCGTGGTGCGGTTTCCAGCAGCCCTGCGCGGGGACCGGGTTCCAACCCCGAAGTGAACCTCCACGAGGCCGCGCTGGAATCCTGCACACTCCAGAGGGAGCCCGCAGAGCCCTGGACGCCGTCTGGTCCTCCTGTCGTCTGTGAAGGTTCTTAACCTGCCCACCCACCGCGCCCTCCGCCTCCCCAGGCCGGCCGCGGGGTGCCCGGGGCCGCCCTGCTCCCCTCCCGGGGCCCGAGACGGAGGCGCGGCGGCCGGGGGCGCACAACCGCGGTGCCCACGCCGTCGGCTCTCCCCGTGACACGGCTTGTACAGTCTGATCCTGTCTCTTCGCGGGGGGGCGTTTTTGTTTGTTTGTTTGTTTGTCGGAGATGTGTTTCCTTTTGTTTTCTGAATCTGGGTTTTGATGTTCTAAGGTTTGGTTTGGTTTTTCCATTTTCTCTGGCGTTTATTTATTCGTGCTTCCTTCCAATCACGGTCATATTAAAAGCTGGTCTTGTGGACATGGCCGAGTCGTCTCTGCCTTTTCCCTACAGTCTTTCTTCCCAAGATGTTAGGAAACGGCCAGACCTGCCACTCAAAACCGACAGAATAGTTGATACATAGATAGACATAGATGATACACAGATAGACATAGATGATACATAGATAGACATAGATGAAAGACATAGATGATAGATAGATAAATAGGTAGATGACAAATAGGTGGAGAGGTACAGTTTATGAAACACTTACCTTTACAAAACATGTACACTCTTATTCTATTCTATCCTATCCTGCATCTTTAAGTGCTGTTGATCGCAACACTGTAAGTGGCTTCGCCACACCCACAGTCTCAGTGACACTGCCCTGGACCACAAGCATGAAGACAGGGAGGCAGAACTCACTGCCCAGACTGGCAGACCTCAGAGGAGGCCTTCACATCCCTTTCCCTGGCTCCTCCTGAGCCGGTCAGTGAATTTGGTCTGGACACCTGCCCCAGCCTGGCCTCCCTCCCACCCCCCTGCCTTTCCCGTCCCACTCTACAACCCACCCCCTCACCCCCATCCAACAGACCTGCCTCTGCCTTGCAGCCTCCTGAGAGGATGTCCATGTGGGAAAGGAGGTGGGAAGATGCCTCTGGTGGGGTGAGAACGTGCCCTTTCTAGCCCCACTGTGGCGAGAGAGAGCTTTCTGCTCCAGCAGAATGCTTGCCCTCACAGCATCCTGCTAATTCCACAGGGGCAGCTCCTGTAGTCTAATCTTTCATTGCCCCCCCACCACCACTCCCAACTCAAAGTCACCCCCAAAGTCATGAAGGAAGACCTACGATAGTTCATACCTCCCTCCTCGGGCACAGAAAGTGCTGGCTGGACAGGGGTCTGGTCCCTGCTTTGCTATCTTTCCCTCTCCTAACACAAGGAAGTGATGGATGAGATCGTGCCCCTCTCTGGGCTCCGCTCCCTCCATCTGAAGCTGAAAATAATACCTCACCTGTCTTCACAGATGCTCTCCAGAGGCCCCCTCAGACTCGAGATGCTAGGACCGCATTACTCCCCCTGCTGGTGGGACAGGGCATACCAGCCACACTGACCAAAGCAGAACGGGACCTTTTAGTTTTCTATCTCTGCCGTAACGAAATGGCAAACCTAGTGACTTTAAAAACAATACAAATATAGTCCAGGAGACCAGAAGTCGGACGTGGGTCTCACTGGGCTAGAATCTAGGTGTCAGCAGGGCTATCTTCCTTTCGGAAGCTCTAGAGGAGAAGCTATTTCCTCACCCTTTCCAGCTTCTAGTGTCTGCCCACATTCCTTGGCTTGTGGCCTCTTCCTCCTTCTTCAAAGACCACAACGATGGGTTGAGTCTTTATGTCACAACAATGATCTTCGAGTCTCGTCTTCCTCTAACTCAGATCCTCTCCTGCCTGCCTCTTCCGTTTTGTTTTGTTTTTAGGTAACTAGGTTGTTGGTTTTTTTTTTTAAGAATATAATTGCTTCAAATAATGCTGTGTTAGTTTCTGCTGTACAATGAAGTGAATCAGCTGTTTGTATACATATATCCCTCCCCTCCTTAGCCTCCCTCCCACCCATCCCCATCCCACCCCTCTAGGTCATCACAGAACTCTAAACTGAGCTTCTCTACTTCACAGCAACTTCCCACGTTTTACACATGGGAGTGAATGCCTCTTCCATTTTGTAAAGACTCTTTGTATTAGACCCAGCCAATATTTCATACTAATCCTCCTATCTCAAGGTTGTTAACTGGTCACATCATCCCTGGTGGCTCAACTGGTAGAGAATCTGCCTGCAATGTGGGAGACCTGGGTTTGATCCCTGGGTTGAGAAGATCCCCTGGAGAAGGGACCAGTTACCCACCCCAGTATTCTGGCTTGGAGAATTCCATGGACTATAGTCCACAGGGTCACCAAGAATCTGACACAACTAAGGGACTTTCACTTATACTTTCAAACCAGACATGGAACAATGAACTATTTCAGAATTGGGAAAGGAGTATGTCAAGGCTATATATTGTCACCCTGCTTATTTAACTTAAATGCAGAGTACATCATTCAAAATGCCGAGCTGGATGAAACACAAGCTAGAATCAAGATTTCTGGGAGAAATATCAATAACCTCAGATATGGAGATGACATCACTCTTATGGCAGAAAGCGAACAGGAACTAAAGAGCCTCTTAGTGAAAGTGAAAGAGAGTGGAAAAGCTGGCTTAAAACTCAATATTCAAAAAACAAAGATCATGGCATCTGGTCCCATCACATGGCAAATAGAAGGGAAAACAGTGAAAACAGTGACAGACTTCATTTTCTTGGGCTCTAAAAGCACTGTAGATGGTGAGTGCAGCCATGAAATTAAAACACCTTTGCTCCTTGGAAGAAAAGCTATGACCAATCTAGACAGCGTATTAAAAAGCAGAGGCATTACTTTGCCAACAAAGGTCCATCTAGTCAAAGCTATGGTTTTTCCAGTAGCCATGCATGAATGTGAGAGTTGGACCATAAAGAAAAGCTGAGTGCTAAAGAATTGATGCTTTTGAACTGTAGTGTTGGAGAAGACTCTTCAGAGTCCCTTGAACTGCAAGGAGATCAAACCAGTCAATCCTAAAGGAAATCAACCCTGAATATTCATTGGAAGGACTGATGCTGACGCTGAAGCTCCAATACTTTAGCCACCTGAAGTGTGGAAGTCCCTCTCCAAAGAGAAATTCACTCCTCACTACATCAGACTGGAAATAGTCCTTCTGGTGCCTAGACTATAGGATGTAGAAGAACAGAGTGTCTTCAGACTGCTCCTATTGGGGTTGGAAACCACATTAAATGTCTATTCAGTGAGTTGAGAGTCTGTCGGATGCTTCTGCCTCATTCCAGTTTAATAGTTTCATACATTTTTTAAAAATCTATAACTTGAATTGCAATTTGAACTTCCTCATTGGATTTCTGGCTTCCTTTTTAAATTTCTTCAGATCAATCTGGGAAGGAGTGAAGAATATTCTAACAGGTTTGGATTGCTCCAGGCTTCAGATATGTATGCATCCCTTCTGATTAAAGAATTCTGGCTTTGTTCATCTGGGAGCAGGTCTATAAACTTAACTTATTTAAAGAAAAGACTGGAAATCCAAGAGAGTAAATCAATAGCCAGGTACTAATTATAATAATTAACTGGCTGTTGAGCAAAGATACAGTCGTAAGCCTAAATTCCTGGCAGTGGTGGTATTTTTTATTATTATTATTTCAAACAAGTAGCCTTGTGTGTGATCATTTTTTTAACGACAACCTGAAGAGATCTGGTAGACACAGGAGACTTGGAAAGTGTCATATTTTCTTTTTTTCAATTTTTGGCCACACTCCATGGCATGTGGGACCGGGGATCAGACCTGCACCCCCTACACGGGAAGGTGGAGTCTTAACCATGGGACTACCAGTGAGGTCCCAGCGTCACATTTTCGAGTCACCCAAATGGTGACACAGTGGCTGGGAGTTTGGTACAATCACAAGGTCAAACCACAAGGATGAATTATCAGTGACCTCAAAGGGGCAGACCAACCAATTGACTGGTTGATCAATCAATCAAATAATGGCACATAATCTCAGAAACAGAATCAGCCACAGTTAGGTGAAAGGAGAAAGTATCTGCCAGGGACTGAGCTGGCTGTTTACACACTGTTCTTTTATTGTTTGGTGCCAAGAGAGCGCAGAGTTCTTTTATTTTTCTCTGCAGCTTGGACCTATTTTTATAAAGGTCTTAACCATGCGCACACCTAAGGACAAAAAATCCACAGAGGGTCTCTAGATGGTTCTTGGTGAGCTGGGAGGGAGAATGGGAGAGGCCAGCCCCAGCCACAGGTGTGGTGGTTTAGTCCTTCAGTCCTGTCCGACTCTTTGCGACCCCGTAGACACCAGGCTCCTCTGTGCATGGGACTCTCCAGACAAGAATACTGGTGTGGGTTGCCATTTCCTTCTCCAGGGATTCTTCCCCACCCAGGGATCAAACCTGGGTCTCCTGCATCGCAGGCAGATTCTTTACCAGCTGAGCCACCAGGGAAGCCCAAGTGTGATCTTTTAATGATTCCCTCGGGTGAAGCTCAGCTCAGCCAGCCTGAGCCTGGAACGCAAGGAGGAATCTGGGACCTCCTCCTCCACAAGCTCAGAGATTTCAGTTCGATTTTGAGAACTAAGTTTGGAGCAGAGACAAGCGCCTCCAGAAAGCACCAATGAATGAGCTCCCCTGTTACAGAGAAGCAAGGAATTGACTCCTTCGGGGGTGGGGGGAGGTGCCGCCAGCCCTAATCCAGCCACAGCCGGGCAGACCCCACACTGCACAGAGCGAGCTTCCTGGCACAACCGGGAGGGGAGCGGGCAACCAAGGAAGCGAAAACACATGAAGAACAAGGGGTCTCCATTCAGTGATTGTCTGTTAAGCACCGGGCACTTGCCTTCAAAGAATTTATCATCTTAGTGGGGATACTGACAAGTAAACAACTCTGAAAGATGGATCTGAAGTTTTGCAGCAGCATATGGGAAGCCGCAGGGGGTGGGACGCTGGAGGAGGCATAGCTGTGGGACTACACGAAGGCCCATGGGAGCCCAGAAAAGAAGAAAAGGGGGGAAATGTCCAAAATGACACTGAGAGGCTGGTGGACATGTACGGATGCAGGGCCGGGACACCACACTGAGGT